TGAGAGAGAGTCATTGATCAGCTGCCTCTTGCACACCCCCTACTGGGGATATGCCCGCAACCAAGGTACATGCCCTTGACCAGAATCGAACCCGGGGCCCTTCAGTCCCCAAGCCGACGCTCTATCCGTTGAGCCAAACCGGTCCCAGCAAATAAAGAGTTATTTTAAAAAATAAAATAACAAAACCTAAAAATAAAATGCATCAATTTAACCTGGCCAGCAATGTGGCTCAGCAGTTGAGCTTTGACTGATGAACTAGCAGGTCAAGGTTTGATTCCTGGACAGGGCAGGGCACATGAAGGTTTTGATCCGATCTCCAGTGTGGGGCATGCAGGAGGCAGCCGATCAATGATTTTCTTTCATCATTGATGTTTCTATCTCTCTTTCTCTCTCTGAAATCAATAAAAATATATTTTAAAAAATTAATTAATTAAAAGCATCAAATTGGGCTCAAGCACAGTAAAAGAGCATGGCCTCCAACTCTGATGGCCACATAATTAGTACTATCCCTAACGATAATAGACAATCTCTCTCTATATAAAAGCTCAAAATGCAAAGTGTCCCCTTGGGAGTTCGACTAATTGGGAGTTTGGCTGCTTGCTATGATGTGCGCTGACCACCAGGAGGCAGCATGGAACGAGGAAGGTCCTGGCTGGTAGCTGCAAGGCCCAGGGCACTAAAGGCCCAGTGCACGAATTTTATGCACTGGGCCTCTAGTTTACAATATAATTATTTTAAGAACTCATGTAAAGTTGTTTGTGTTTAAAATAGCAACAACCTGAGCATAAGCCACATTCAGAATACATTAATGCAGATTTTTTTATTCCTCAAGCTCTTTTTCAGATTAAGCCCATTAAGGAAATAGAACTTCCCCCACTAAGGAAAAATATACTTCCCTACTATGGACTCATGGCTATCAAGCATAATTAATCATTTGAGTTCCTGGGCAGAGCAGTGGAGTTATATAACCATAAAACAAAGAGCCATTACTATTCAGGGAACATATATGTACTTTATTGAAATAAAGTATGTTATTGTTTTTTCAACTCCATAGAATACTGTTTTGCAAATATGGGAAATAAAGGGATAATTCTGCTTATATAATTAAAACATCATAAAGCTCACTGAACTAACCACATTAATGATGGAGTTAGGCTTGCTTGTTTTTAAAAATAAGTTTTCAAGTTTGAACAGTCACAATGGTTTAAAAGTGAATATATTTAAATTAGGGCTAAGTGTTTTATGATATCCTTTTCATCAAAATATTTTCTACTGTTTGTGACATAAAGGAATAGAGAATAACCTAGGATTATGGAAACTGTGGAAGGTAAACTAAGGAGGGACTTAATCAAATATATATACGTATTTAAAAATAAGCACAGATGTGAGTTACATAAACTACAGCAGGAATACTTTAATATAGCAGTTGACAGAACTTTCTAACCATAAGGGCTATAAAAACTACTAATGTGCTGCTTTTTGAGATTAAAAACAACACATATAATTCTTCAGTTAGGTGTAATATTATCTGAAAAAAGAGTTGGCTTAGATAATATCTTGAGCTTCTCCTGCCTTTTTCACTAGTAGGGAGAGAAAAAGGTAGAAAAAAGAGACTCCTGACCAAGTTTCTGTGTAAAACCCTCAGCCTGTCCACCTGAGTTCTTTGGGAATGACTACTTTTGAATAGTTGAATTTTCTGGAGAACTATGTGTATATCATTCCAAGAATTAGAATTTGGATGAAATATTATTTTAAAATGTACTTAAATTCCTTGATCTTTTTTTTCTCCTTACTTCAAATTTCAAAGTTGTTTTTTGTTAATCCTTACCCAAGAATATTTTTCCATTGATTTTTAGAGAAAGTAAAAGAGAGGTGGGAAGACAGAGAGAGAGAAACATTGATTTGAGAGAGGCACATCAATTGGTTATCTCCTACACATTATGGGCACCAGGGATCAAGATACGTGCTGTTGACCAAAATCAAACCTAGGAACCTTCAGTCCACAGGCCAACTGAGCCAAACTAGCTAGGGCTCAAAGTAGTTTTTTTAAATATTATAAGTTACAAACTCGTTCTAGAAGGAGAAAAACAAATGGCCATAATCCTACTATCTAGAAATTATTAGGTAACATTTTCTATTTCTTGAATTATGTCTCAGTGAATATAGTAAGACATAATTCAAGGCCATGAAAAAATGAGATCTCAGTCTACACAAGTATTTTCTAAAGCCTGGTATTATGATAAACATTCTAAAATATGGTCTCACTTTAGCCAATAAAGTAGGTATTGTTATTCCTATTTTAGAAATGAAGAAAACATGACTCAGGGAATTTATCAAGGACCATAAGCCACAGAGCCTAAATTCAAATCCTTTTATCCAGCTCCAAAGGCTGACCTGTTAACTTTTTTTCTTTTTTTTGGCATTATAGCCTCAAAGGTCACATATTGCTATGAATTTTAAGGGCCCCATATATGCATCCTTGACACACACACACACACACACACACACACACACACACTTAATGATTTTTCAAACTTTCCTTACCGTCAAGTTATTTTTCAGATTTCAGAGAAGATTTATTTTCTTCTTACCACTTCCCCATCACCTTTCCAATCTGCTGCTTTAGGTTTGTATAAGCGTGAACATATCAATAGCAAGCTAATTGAAATCTTGTGAAACACAAACGAGACTTCCAGAGGGTAAAGTATATACAGACTATGTGACACATATTTATTTCCTTCTCACAGCTTTGTCTTGGGTTTAATGAAGGATATGACACTGAAGTCTAAAAAAGCATCAGCCAATCCTGAAAAGTCAGCACAATAATCCAAAATTTCTATATAAAACCCTAATATGCAAATAAACCGAACAGCAGAACAACTGAATAACCTGTCGCTATAACGTGTGCTGACCATCAGGGGGCACATATGGAACATGGCAGGTGTCAGCTGCAGTGGGATGGTGGAGTAGGTAAGTAGAGGCCAGACCAAGGTGGGGTGCCCATTGCTGTCATCGGGTTGAGCCTCTGGTGATTACTGAAAATTTTTTGCTCCAAGCTGTGGACTCACCCTGTGCTCGCACCTGCTGCCAGCACTGGAGTCATCACTCACATCCACTGCCAGAGCACAGGGCCATTACCAATCACTTGGTGCAGTCAGCAGGTGCAAGTGGTGGCTGCCAACCCTGATTGCCCCTGCGGGCTTCTACACCTTCCCCTGCTCCTGAGGGGAGATTGAGGCAGCAGCCTCTGCTCACACCTGCTGCTGGCACCGGCCCCAATCATTCTGTACGATCAGTGGGTACAAGCAGGACCGGCGCCAACAGTGCATGGGAGCAGCAGCGGTGGGAGTGGGGCTGCCAGCAGAGGGGCTGGAGACCATGGCAGAAGGGGCCAAACAGGAGTGCAGAGGATGTGCTGAAACCCGCCCGTTCCCTACCACAGCCTCGAGGTCCACAATTCCTTTCAAGATGCATGAATTCGTGCCCCAAGTGTTTTAATAAGAATTTAGAGAGTTATAGATGGAAAGACACATTACTCAGAGTGAGAAAGTTTGATCATAGAGGAGAGTAGAACAGAGAATACATTTGTAGAAAATATGTTCATATATAAGCTCCCCCCCCCCCCCCCCCCGCAAAAAAAAAAGGCCAAAATCAAATGGCATAAAACCAACAAGGCAGAGTTGCCCATAGGGTATGGAGTGTTTAAACAAGAAAAGGAAGAGGCTTATAGATGGGCTATACTAAAAAGTGAGCCCTTGGTTCAAAAAGATGTTAGGAGACTGCTCCCAACTCACTCTGGCCCCCAAGGTAAAGAAGACAGAACATCAGAAAGAATAATGGAAAATAGAGAGGAGGCCAGGAAAGTTTGATACAAATGGAAGAGTAACACATGCTTTCTTGTTTAGATTGGCGTTAGGAACAGTGGATATGAGGTGGAAGAAAGGCTGCCCTGAAGGGACACAGAACTATTATTTCAGTCTTGGCTGTGGTCAGTCCTGCTTATCTTCCACCAAATATGGACAAAGAAGCCGCCTCACAGAGCTTTTTCTTTTTAATCTCTAAGCGCTATTTATATCATCTAAACTTGGCAGACATATGGCTCTATAACCTGATGACATATGCTATTTCATGTAGTTTTAGTTTGTGAGGTAAATATGAAATCTTCATTACTCATGTTATCATTATAATTAAAAATTATTTGATTATGGTTTGCTACTATCTGATCTAGTTATTTCATAACTGCAGAAATATACTTCTAGGAAAGGGCTAACCCACATGCCTGCAAGAGCTGGTGGGTGGCAATTTCTACTGTGCTTTTCTTTCAATGGTCTGTTTCCTTATTGGCTCTCTCATAAAAGAAAGAAACATGATGTCACTCTGATCTAAAAATCTTTCATTCTCAGGAGGCAAAGTGTTGGCAGAGCCTAGAGTACAGCTTAAATCTCATGGTTCTTAGGCCTTCTTGGGTTGTTCCTTGGGATGACACTCTCAGAATAAAGCCCTGGACAAATACTTAAGACTGAATCCCACTTCCATGTGATTTTTCTCTGTAAGTCTTCTTTTTTCCTTAAGTCTCTATCAAGTTGACCTGACACACCAGCATCTGAGTTTTGCAGGCCACACAGCTTATGGTACCTACTAAAACACAAAACAAAATAAAAATCAAGTTTGTAAGGAAGAAAGCCTGGAATGTAGGAAACATGGTCTTCCTTTGCCTTCTTTATACTTTATTTAAACAAAAATATAAAAAGTGACTGTAAATTTTAGCTAGTTAATTAAGAATCAATTATATTACTCCTGCACACATTGTTTATAAATGTAAATGACAGCATGTCTCTAATATTTTGAGTACTCAGGAAAAAGTAGTCCTTGATAAAATGTAATATATGATTGCACAGATTTGATTACTATATACTTAAACTAATTAGCCATGACAACTCAAACTTAAGCAATATGCAAAAAAAAAAAAAAAGCCAAAAAAAAAAAAAAAAAAGCATGAACTGCCTAAGCTATAGAGTATTTTTAAAATTTATTTCCAATTATTCTGTGGCTATTAACATCCATGAGTTGCTTTTATTTATTTCTTTTTAATTTTTTTTTAAAATACTTGATTTTTTACAGAGAGGAAGGGAAAGGGACAGAGAGCTAGAAACATTGATGATGAGAGAAACATCGAGTAGCTGCCTCTGCATAACCCTTACTGGGGATATGCCCACAACCAATGTACATGCCCTTGACTGGAATCGAACCTGGGACCCTTCAGTCTGCAGGCTGATGCTCTATCCACTGAGCCAAACCGGTTTCGGCCATGAGTTGCTTTTAAAGTTCAAAAACACTGAACTGTCTAGAAACATTATGAATAGTAATAGTAATACCGCTAATTTTATTTTCAAATTTTGGTCAATAAAGAGGAAAATAATAGAGTTAAGTAGTCAAAAGAAGTACTAAGAAAAGTACAATCATTCATATATACAGATAATATGAACAGTATAGATTCAATCCTATTTACACATTTAAAATATAAAACACATCCTAATTTATCAAGATGCTGACCACATTTAGCACCAGGAAAGAAACTTTATGTTAGCTTTTGAACATGACTTCCTATCTTGTCATAGGAAAAAAAAACTTTCATAGAATCTATATGTAGTTATGACTATCAATTAACTAAAAATTAGTTTTTAAAAGTAACTGCTGCATATCATTAATTCACAAGCAATTAAAAAGGAAATAAACCTTAAAACCGGGACTACTTGATACTGCGCACAACTCTCCTACAATGATTTGTTTTCATCTCCTCCAATGCTTGTTCCAGTTGCTGAACCAAGTGCAACAGTGTAGCTGGATCTGTCTGCAGAACTTTGGTGTTGCGATCTCCATTCTGATTAAGGTGTAGCTTTATAGTCACCAATGGTTTTATCTGTTGCCTGAGGCTTCTGCTTGCAAGCTTAATTTTAAATGGAATAAGAGCATAATATCTATTTAATAATCAAGCTGAATACATTACATTTATAATTACTTATATCATGTACAAAAATAAAACTTCAGATAAAGCATAGACCTCAAAATAAAAAGTAAACTTTAAAACTTTTTTTGGGGAAAAAAAAAGAAATCAGAACATACATGCAATGTTACAGTGTGGGAAAATTTCTTAAACATGATATAAAAAGCACAAACCATAAAGAAAAAAGTGACAAATTTAACTATTTTAAAATTATTACATTTTCTTCTAAGGATACATAAAGATGGTGGAAAAACAAGCCACAAACAGTGTATTTTGTAACACATACAAGCAAAAAAAAAAAAATATATATTAGTATCCAGAATGTATGAATAACTGCTCTGATTTATAAGGAACAAACATAAAACCAAAAGAAGAACATACAGAAGACTGAAAATAAGCACTTAACAAAAGAATAACACAAACAGATAAACAGGAAAGTATGCTCAACTTTATTGGAATCAAGAAAATGGCCAATAAAACCATAGTGAATCATGCATGATTCACTAGCATGATTAAAAAGCTTTCCATATGGAGCGCTGCAGGTGATGGGAATGGAAACTCTCATCCACTGCAAGTGAGTAAAAAAATATAAACAAAAATTAACAGAAAATTTAGGATGGTCATTGCCTCCAGGAAGGAGATTCAAAAGTACTGGTTTTGTTCTAGTTCTTTAGCTTGGCAATTGGGTAGGTACTTGTTTTATTATTCTTCTTAAAACTGAATATCAATAATCTTTCGTTTGTATGATCTATTCCAAAGTTTAAAAAAATAAGCACTATTGTCCTGGTCAGGTGGCTTGGTAGGTTAGCACATTATCTCATACATCAAAAGGTTGTGGGTTTGATTCCTGATCAGGGCACATAACTAGGTTTTGGGGTCAATCCTGGTCAGGGTGTGTATGGGAGGAAAACCAATCGATGTTTCTCTCTTACATCAATGTTTCCCTCTTTCTCCCTTCCTCTCTCTAAAATCAATAAAAACATATCCTCAGGTGAGGATTAAAAATAAAAGTACTAGCTGAAACGGGTTTGGCTCAATGGATAGAGCGTCGGACTGTGAACTGAAAGGTCCCGGGTTCGATTCCGGTCAAGGGCATGTACCTTGGTTGTGGGCACATCCCCAGTAGGGGGTGTGCAAGAGGCAGCTGATCGATGATTCTCTCTCATCGATGTTTCTCTCTATCCCTCTCTCTTCCTCTCTTTAAAAAAAAAATCAATAAAATATATTTAAAAAAAATATAATAAAAAAATAAAAGTACTAGTGATATATTATTAAAGGATAAAAAACTACTAGAAACAATGACCAACTTGGAAATTATGGCATTTAACTCAATACCAGAATGTGTTCTCTACAGATGATTTTCCATTAAAGTAAACCGGGACCTCCTTGAATAGCTGATTCAATTGAAGTCTGGGACAGAAATTGTACAAGATGAACCTGAAACACCTTGTTACACAAGAGAGCAAGATTGTTATCTAAAACTACTGCAGTAATGTCAAAAGGACAAGAAGCCAAACTGAAGAGATTTCCAAGTGAGTGACAAATCTAAACCTAAGATTTCAGGTTAATACCACAAAAGAATATTCTTTTTTATATATATAAGCCAAATTTTTATTTTTATTATTATTTTTTTAATTTAATAAATCTTTATTGCTCAGATTGTTACAATTGTTTCTCCTTCTCCCCTCCCCCATAGCTCCCTTCCACCCAGTTCCCACTCCACCCTCTGCCCTTACCTCCCCCACTATTGTCCTCATCCATAGTTGTACGGTTTTAATCCAGTCTCTTCCTGCACCTTTCACACCACTTTCCCTCTGATAATTATCAATCCACTCCCTTTCTTTGCCCCTGATTCTATTATATTCACCAGTTTATTCTGTTCCTCAGATTTTTAATTCACTTGATTTTTTAGGTTAACTTGTTGATATATATGTATATATTTGTTGATCATAATTTTTATCTTTACTTTTTTCTTCTTCCTCTTCTTAAAAAATACCTTCCAGCATTTCATATAATACTGTTTTAGTGGTGATGAACTCCTTTAGCTTTTTCTTATCTGTGAAACTCTTTATCCAACCTTCAATTCTGAATGATAACTTTGCTGGGTAGAGTAATCTTGGTTGTATTGGGTCGGCAACTAAGTAATTACGGATTTTAAAAAGAAAATCAAAGACAATTTTTTCATGGAACTAAATAACTTTATTCTGTAATGTATTGCCCATTTTGATCAATGACCTTTTACCATCTTTCAGGCAGCATCATAATCCCACGTTCAAAAAACTTCTGGTTTTTATTAGCAAAAAACTGAATCAGGTACGATTTGACATCATCATCATTATTGAAATTTTTACCATTCAAGGAGTTTTGTAAAGATCGAAACAAAAAGTAATCAGATGGTGCAAGGTCAGGACTATATGGTGGATGTGGCAAAACATCCCAACCAAGCTCCATTAATTTTTGCCGAGTGACCAAAGATGTGTGTGGCCTTGCATTGTCATGATGGAATACAACACCTTTTCGATTTGTCAATTTGGGCCGCTTTTCTTCAACTGCATTGTTTAATTTCCTTAGTTGTTCAATGTAGACATCAGAATTGATCGTTCGGTTGGGTGGTAAGAGTTCAAAGTAGACAATTCCTTTGTAATCCCACCAAACTGATAACAAAACCTTCTTTTGATGAATATCAGCTTTTGATGTTGTTTGAGTTGGTTCACCTGGCCTGCTCCACGATCTTTTCCGCTTGATATTGTTGTAAACAACCCATTTTTCATCGCCAGTTATCAGTCGTTTTAAAAATGGATCATTTTCCTTCCTTCCCCACCGAGGGGAAGGAAGGAGGAGGGAGAACCGCGCGCACGCGCCCGGCCCGGCGGCCGTTGCCTCCTCTCCGCGAACCCCGCCGGGGCCTTCGGGCCGCGGACTGGGACAGGGAAAGCGGGGGTGGTTGGCGGCGGACGCGGCCCCTTTCCCAGGGGGATCGAGGGTCGGCTCCCTCCTCGTTAAAAATAAACAAAAAAAAAATTAAAAATAAAATAAAATAAAAAATAAAAATGGATCATTTTCATTACGTTTCCTTAGCAAATCGCAGCTGCTAATGCGTTGCGTTAACTGTGATTCTTTCAGTTCGTGAGGAACCCATGTATTGAGTTTTTGAACATAGCCAAGTTGTTTTAAGTGATTTTCAATGCATGTATGTGATACATGAAGCTTCTCTGCAATCTCACGTGTAGTACTGTGACAGTCCGAATTGATTATTGCTTTGATTAGGGCACATGTGTCAAACACAAGGCCCGCGGGCCAAATCCGTCCCGCCAGGCCTTGCAATGTGGCCCGCACCGCGCTGTCATCACTGCACTCCGCTGTGTTTCCATCACAATGACAGTTTATGACTGTTCAGTAAACCATTCAGCCCGCGATTTAGGCTGGATTTTAGATTTTGGCCCCTTCTCTGATTGAGTTCGACACCCCTAGATTAGGGCGTCATCAACTTCAACTGGACGACCAGAGCGTTTTTCATCTTTGAGTGAAAAATCACCAGAACGAAATTTGGCAAACCAATTTTGACACTGCCGTTCTTTTAAGGCTTCGTCACCATAAACAGCACATAACTTTTTATGAGCTTGCGATGTGTTTTTCCCTTTGCGGAAATAAAAAAGCAAAATATGACGAAAATGTTCCTTTTGATTTTCCATTTTTCAACGAACACCAAACGAAAACTACAAAACAGATCAAAAAACTTTTTTTTACTGATTAACAGCTGAATAGCCAACTATCAAATAACAAAATGTGTTTTACATTTGTACGTCTGCAAACCTAAAAATTCAACTGAAGCCATGTGTGAAACCCGCAATTACTTAGTTGCCTACCCAATAGTTCTTGCTGTTCATCACTTCGAATATTTCTTGCCACTCCCATCTGGCCTGCATAGTTTCTGTTGAGAAATCAGTTGATAATCTTATGGGTGCTCCCTTATAGATAACTTTTTCTCTTGCTGCTTCTAAGATTCTCTCTTTGTCTTTTGCCCTTGGCATTTTAATTATGATGTGTCTTGGTGTGGTCCTCTTTGGATTCCTTTTGTTTGGGGTTCTTTGTGCTTCCTGGACTTGCATGTCTATTTCTTTCACCAGGTGGGGGAAGTTTTCTGACATTATTTCTTCAAATAGGTTTTCAGTATCTTGCACTCTCTCTTCTTCTGGCACCCCAATAATTATGATATTGGTACACTTGAAGTTGTCCCTGAGGCTCCTTACACCATCTTCAACTTTCTGGATTCTCTTCTTGCTTCTCCAGAAGACTGTCCTTTGCCTCTTTGTATTCCAAATCTTTGACTTGATTCTTGTGTTCCTCTAGTGTCCTGTTGGGTCTCTGTATAATATTTTTTATTTCAGTCAGTGTATGTTTCATTTCTAGTTGGTCTTTTTTCATATCTTCAACGGTCTCATTAAATTTATCGGCCTTTTCTAGGAAATTCATGAAAAACCTTATAACCGTGATTTTGAACTCTATATTTAGTAGTTTGTTCTCCTCCATTTCTTTTGTTTGAAATCTGTTTCCTTGTCTTTTCATTTTTGCTGCTTCCCTGAGTTGGTAGGATGGCTTTGTGTGCTTGGTTTCCTATATTGGCCAGT